AAATAAAATAAAATAAAATAAAATAAAATAAAATAAAATAAAATAAAATTAAATAAAATTAAATAAAATAAAATAAAATGAAATAAAATAAATAAAATTAAATAAAATAAAATAGCATTAATTAAACTAAAGTAAAATAAAAAGAAACAGATTCAAATAAAACAAAAGTAAATTAAATTGAATTAAATTAAATTAAACCAAATAAAATAAAGTAAAGTAAATAAATGAAATAAAATAACCAAAAGAGGCCAATAAAATATAATTATATAATAATATAAAATAAAATAAGCTTCAAAAAAATAAATAGAAATAAAAATTTATAATTAAACTGAGCAGAAAATTAAAATGAGATGAAATAAATTCAAGCTATTAAAATTATATGAAGTTAAATAAAAAATGAAGGAGATATGATATAATTAATTGAAATTGTGTAAAAAATATTCCGATTTTATATTGAAATAATCAATATATTTTGGTGAATTTAGAAAAAATTCCTATAAAATACTGTATTGTGTACGCTTTGTGCCTCAAAGCATATGCCAACAAACGATAACAAGAAAGACGGTTGCGTTTGTTATGTTATGCTTGGCTGGTTTTCACATGTAAACGCTTACATAAATATGCATATATATATATATACGCATATATACTAACTTATGATTTCTCTGCGCTAAGGCATTTCCGTCTCACACAATTTCCATAATATTAGTAATAATCATAATGGCAAAGAGCTTACGTAATAAAATAAAAATTAAGTTACTCATACCACATGGCACCCCATCCACTTACGAGTGAGTATGTGCAGGATTGGGTGTTGGCGAGTGGCTGTGGTTGAGCGTGGTTACGCGTCTACACCTCCTTCCTGGGTGCGCAAGCATGCCGATATTTCGGAATAACGAAAATTGCATTTGTACTACACTTTTGATTTGATTTATGCGCACATTTGAATTATCCGGAGCTTAGTTGAGTGGCGTTGAGTTGAGCTGAGCTGAGTGGCTTGTACGATGTGATATCCATGCGCTTTTATTGTATTGTTGCCACATATTTCGACATGGAAACGCACAAAAAACAGTTCTCTTGTTGTCTGTCTCATGCTATTTTCGAGGCGTCACTGCGTGAGTGGGGACGTGTGTGTGTGTGTGTGTGGGTGTGTATGTGTGTGTGGGTGGGTGTTTGCAGCATGCGTGTGTTAGGATGTTGTTGAAGCAAAAATTCAATTTCAATTCAAGCGCAAATAATGCAAAATACAATACATAATAAATGTATTGCTGCTGTAATGGAATTGTGTGCATGTGTGCACAGGCTTTTACATACATGCGTACATATGTATTACAAAGTGCATAGACAGGAAATACCTTATTGTATGTACGAAAATAATAACAAAATTCAAATTTAAATCACACGCTTTCCTTTCTTTGCACTAACAATACGAGCACTTTCCTACACATACACGTACGTACACACACATATGTGCGCGTTTAATATTGAATTTACAAAATTTTGTAAAATTTTTGAAAATGCCCTGTTACCGCTTGATTGAATATTCAGACACTGTGTATACTTGCCAACATATTTGGATATGTCTGCTGGCAATTGATCAATATTTATATGAAATTCGCTGCAAAAATTTATTAAACTGCTATGTGTTAGGTTACGCATACAGGGTTGTGTATAAAAAAAAAATAAAAAAATCGAAATTTTGCTTTGAAACTTTGCACTTTGGCCAAATACCTACTACACACTTATTATTATTTTTACGACTATTGTATATTACAAATATGCACAAATTTTTAATTTAAAATGTTACGTACATCCATACGTATTTGTACATAAATACATACTGCAAAGCTGTTCTATTCGAAGCTATTTTATCAACGGCGCTTTGCAACCACTGAAGAAAACTTCGGCAGAGCTCCTCTGATTTGTTGTATGCGTCTTGTCCCACGAATGGATGGAGCTACAAATTATTCTTAGCCAACTCCGAATGGCTGATGGATTTTTAAGACGAGCTTTTTTATGTCAGAAATATACTCGGCGGACTTGGCACACCCTGCCTAGGGTCGAACGCTATCGGTAAATTTAACTTAATTCTTTATTTAAATAATAAAAAAAATGTTTTTTTTGTATTTTTATCGTAGCAGGACTGAAACCCTCGCTTTCGGGGTGATAGTACGCAATGATAACCAAAGCTTACTAATTGAGCAATTTAATTGCACAAATTGAGGTAAAGTCGGGTTCTTCTTCAGCTCTGGACGCTCTGCTTTCCTTTGGCTACGAATTCTTTCAAAGCTGAAGTATTTTCGTTCTTTCGGTTGCCATTATTTAACTAACTTAATTCGCCAGACAATGACAATTTTGCAAGATCTTTTTTGCAACTCACTTACCGGATGACGTCATAGTTCGCCCTCCTGCACTATAAAGAGGATGAGAATGATAGGTTACTTTCAATCAATTCAAAGTATAAAATGTGTGAAAATTTATCAAAATTCGGAAACAATTTACTTTTGCTTTATATGACCACTCAAGCAGTTAAAGGGAGACTTGAGTGAGCGAATGAGTTGTTTCGCTTAGTCGATAGTGGACAATCCGCGAATATTGTGTTTTATGACAAGAAAATTTATACAGTTAAGCTATCCGATAGGATTTACTTGGCCGACTCTTCATGGCAGAATTTGAGTCATCGATGGGCCTCTCGGAGGCAGCACCCGCCACAGATAATGGTTTGAGCCGCTGTAACTGCAGATGAGCGCTCTCCAATTGTTTTCTTTGTATTTTGAAGATTGCTTTGAAGCGGTGGGCAGACAATCATTTCGGTGGCAGATCATGGACGTTTCAACAGGACTCGGCAGAAGAACTTCTTTACGTCCACATAATGGTTTTCGAGTTTACCGGACGCTAGTCCTATGGATTATTCTGTTTGGCCCTTTCAGGAGAGCAAGGTCCGAGCAAAATGATACACCAGTGTCGAGGCGCTGAAGAAAGCCGTTGTCCGCGAGTGAATCAAAATACCTGCAAATCACACTCGGGCAGCTTGTGAATCGTTTTTGGACCTACTCGAGTCATAGTCAACGCAAAATGTGGTTATATCGAGCAAACCCGAATTGTATCCGAATTTTGATAAATTTTCACCACACATTTTGTACTTTGAATTGATTAAAAGTGATTTTCCAAAGTGGCTTTTGGCTTTTATAATTGGCTACATTTCGAGTGCTGGTTACTGTACAAAAGAAATTCTCCGTTCGATTTCAAGGATAACTTTATCCGTCGAAAGGTTGGTTTCTAGATAGGAATGGAAATTTTCTACTATCGACCAACAGTGGTGTGAGAACCAAGCCGCGAGACCCATTAACCTCGCTTCCTTATCCTTTTTGAGTGAAGGAAAACTTTATGTTATTGTTGTTGTTGCCGCTGTTGCTGTTGTTGTTGTTGTTATAGCGGTCGCTCTACTCTCTTAGGGACTAACAAGCCTAGTCTAAGACACCGAGGGCTGTCCCACTGGTACGGTTTTATGAGACATAGAAGGAGGTGGTTAGTGTCGAGCGAGGACTCCTTACATGCAGGACATACGTAGGGTATGTTGAGTCGAGTGGGAGGGAGTGTCCCAGTAGTCTCTCTCTGATGTGCCTGTTGCGATACTACCGGAGGAAATTGCTTAAACAGCAAAGCAAGTGTAAGTGCAAGTGATGCTCAGGCGATTTCAGAAGGTTTCCTGTCACGTTCCTAAAGGCGGTGTGTTGGCAAGCCCGTAGCTTTTTCAGCTGCGTCTCGTTCGTCGTCTCGTTCGTCGTGCAGCATAGCTAACGACTGGCCGGCCAATTGTTTTGTAGGTTCACACAAAGTTTTTTTTTTTCTTTATACCAAGTGCTACTGGCTAGAGCTTTTAGTATTTTTTTCTTGCAGTGAAAAGGCCGAGGATTTGGTCATGGATTTGCATTTTTAGTTGTCGCAACTCTCACGACAGCCGGTTCTGCGCACCAGAGTTGACCCGAATTTTATCCGGACAAGGGCTGTCACCCTTGCGGCAATATAACCCCATTTAGATTAGCAATAGACATGGATTCGCCATCTACTTTATTTTATGCTTCAATGCAATTAAGCAAACTGTAAGAGGTTTATTTCCAAGAACTCGCTATGCTCTGGACATTGGTCACCAGGCTCTTCAATTTATGGGACCCCAAGAAGCGTAAGACTGATTGGAGGATGTGCTTTCAAACCCATGATATTCCGCATGGTATTACGTAGGGCCACGCACTATTAATGAAATCGCTTTTTACATCCCTCCATTCGTAGATCTTGACTACCCACCCATCTTTAACATAGCATAATAAGAAGCTCGTCCAATCTGCACTAATCTGAAACCATCAATTTTAGTCACAGCGGGATCTTTAAGACTGAAATCTTAGCTAAGCTCATATCAAACCCGCGAAAATGGGAAAATATGTCGAATACAAAGCAAAACCAAACTACTACACTCCCTGTTTTGGTGAAAACGCAAATCTCCGAATGCTACATTTCCGCGAAGGACAATACAACTCCATTACAACCGGAAGGGATTTCTGAGTACGACTTTATGGCCGCGTATGTGGGGATTTGCATAAATTTCACAGTGGGTTTCTGCTAATACGCATTGTGTAAGCCAACGGTAAGCAATGCGTATGCCAGTGCAATCCTAGAGCTCGGAAAGTGGTTGTGTATGACAACAACAACGCCAACAACAACATTTGCAAATACATTGTTACAAAGCCAACGCCTGGTGAAAAATCCCAATCAACTGTGCGAGGAATTGACAGGAGAATGAAATGTGCATGTGTAGGTGAATGAGTGCATACATGTAGATGCATATGCATGTGTGTGAATGTATACCGTTGCATGAGAGATTTCTACCAATAGGTTCTTACTTTTCCAAGCGTGATTGAAAACACCATCAAGCCTTTGAGATTTGTGTGCATTGGAGAGCAGCATGTCTGAGCTTCTTTTTCTCACTCTCTTACTCTTCACAGATACCCAGCAGCAACAGCAGCAGCAGCAGCAGCAACAGCAATATCAGCAACAGCAACAGCAGCAAATCAGTAGTAAACATCAACCAAATGGAAATATCATAACCGGTATCGGTCCGCAACAGCAGCAGCAACAACAACAACAACATATACGCGCACCGCGACCACCAATACGTACCGCCTCTTCTGCGCCCAGCGGCGGTAGTAGCAGTAGTGGTAATAGCGGCGGTGTTGCCGGCAGTGCGTTAGTTGCCAGCAACAACGCCGGCATACTCAACAATCTCATCGATCAGACACCATCGAATGGCAGCAGTAGCAGTGGCGTCAGTAGCGCACCTTCCAGCAAAGGGCACTCACACCACCATCTGCACACGCATGGGCATTCGAATACTGTTGTTGACAGCATCGGCATGACGACCACAACGTCAAGCGGCAGCGGTGGTGGTAGTGTTGGCGGCGGTGCTGGCAACAGTACGCATCTGCAGCAACAAGTGCCACAGGCGGCGATCGATGAGATGCGCGTCTGATAGGTATCGGTGTTCGAGCTGGAATTATAGTCTTCTTGGTGAGTAGAACTCTGTACCTGGTAATACGAATATATTTTGACGGTGAAGGGTGGAAATAGTTCCAGATTTCCATCCAGAATTCCATATGAATGTTGCCCGCAAAAGCTCTCTGCTTCAGTTAGGATTACTTGTTCTTCTCCTATCCGGTGCGGGTAGTACTCAATGCTGGGCATATCAGATATCAAGATAATGGCAAATTAGTTTTCCAATTGCCAAGAGTCGACCAAAGCAAATTTCAACCCCAGCCAAGGCTTTTTCGATATAAAATTCATAGCTACTCACAAACACCCGCAGGATGTTGATCTCTCCCCATTGCTCTGGCACCCCACAGTGAATGGTGTGGAGGGAAGTCCACTGCCCACACTATGTCAACTCAAACAGAGTAGAACTTGTGCTAGTGAGGAAGTATATGATTTCCGCTTTCAAACCACCAGAGAAAAACCAAATTTCTAGGTGTCATCTTAGACAAAAAGCTATACTTAATTGACAAAAAATAGGAGAAGGCTGCTATACTCCCCCTTATATGCAAAAGAACAATAGGTAAGAGATGGCTTCTCAGTCCCAGGATTTGCCGATAAATATACATACATTTCAGTAGTAGACCAAAGTTTCTTTATGGTGCGATTGTATGGTGGCCAGCTATGAGCTAAAGCTAAGATACAAATATGTGCGTTAATGTGTATCAGTGATGCACTGTGTCATACGCCAAGTGAGGCTGGAAGTGTAAAACTCGGAAGAAATGACTGCACTTCGTCAAAGAGAGTCGAATTAGTCGACCATTCGACCATGGGGACACTCCAAAATATTGGATAAATACGATTTTATAACAAGCCACACTGATCGATGCGGTCCAATTAAGTTAACTAAAAATTACTTACCCAGCAGGAATGAACAGATAGATAACTATCATACACCAAGGGATAGCCTGAAAATATACACGGTCGAATGAAAGCTCGAGGGGAGAGTTAGCGGAGGTGTCTTCCTAGTGAAACCTTCATTGGAACTATTTTTTGGACTACCTGACCATTTCAGTGTTTTCTTTCACTTAGATAGCTGCCATCGTAGAGGCTGCAAAGCAAATCGGATCGAGCTTTAAAGAAAACAATTTTTTTCATTTTCGGCGACAGTCAAGCAGTGATAAAAGCACTGAGCTCACTTACACTAAATTGCAAATTAGCGCTATGCTGTCGACGAGCCCTACAGATGATGGCCACAAACAGAACAGACTATCTCTCCCATGTATGGAAATTGTAATCCTGTTCAACTTGTTAGGCAAAGTACGCTAACGCCTTTTTTGCCATATGCAAACTGCTTCTCAAGGCATTTACATATGAACAAAGTGCTACAAGGTGAAAAGACATTACAACCTGCCACAAATCCAGGCACCACTGGCTGAAATGCATTAAGAAGAGATCACGAGATATGTGCTCCTTAAAAAGAGGGCATATATCGGCTACTGCTTAATAGAACGTCATGGAAAGAGACAAGGGCTCCCTATACAACATGCTGCAGAAGCTGCAAGGATAATGAGGAAGAGGAAATGATTACCAAACTCTTGTGCTACTAACTTGCTTTGAGCAGCACCGGGTTTCGGAAGTTTTGGACTCTGCTACTGAATCGTCTATCGAATATAGCTGAAGTCAAAGCCGCGGATCTAATTACATTCATTACAGTATCAAAAAGACTCGATAGCGAAGCCTGACGGTATAGTTTTTGTGGCATCAAAATGGGTCTTAGTCACGCCTTAGTCTAACCGATACGATAGATCGGTAGCCACCATAACCTAGCCTAGCCTGACATGTATCGTACGTAAGCCACTTAATCTACGGAATATTACATAAATTTGACCCTCCGCTTACTTGAAATGAAAATTTTCTGTACGTCAGAACTTTAAGCGGTAATTTAGCTTCTATAGAAATCTTACAAAACAACAGCCCGCAGCGCTTTTTCCTACCGCGTAATTGTTGATTGAAAACTCCATTAACCGTAGCGGTGCTTATCTCACGTGGTTGGCAGAGAGAAAGCATCGTTAATTGAAATGCAACCTGCGAGTACGGAGAGACCTCTCAGGGTAGCTGGTACGCATTCAATGCCTTTGTAATCACCGTTTACGCACATTTGTTTTAATGAAATGAAGGAATGCTTAAAAGTATAGTGCTGCAGTGGTGAAAGAACGCAGCGATAAAATGGAAGGAGTGCAAAAGAAAGCTTCAGAGTTAAAAACAATGTCGAAGTAGTAAACGAAGTAAAGTGTGTAAGCGGAAGAAAAATTCCAAATTTCAATGGCCGTTGGGTTTTTGGTCTTTTTTAAGATTCACTTAGACGTTACACAGTGCATTCCAAAATTCATTATCATTTTTAATTTTAAAAATCTCTATCTGAATTGTTTCTAGTTGGAAAGTTGGAAGTTTGTCGAAAAACTGAAATGTTTAAAATTCATTTGAATTTTATTTAAACAATTAAACTGGATGCTCTTCTAAAATTGCAGAAATTAATACATTCTTAATAGCATTAAATTTATTTCTTTAAATTCATTGAATTGTAAAATTGTAGCTTACAAAATTTTTCCATGTAGGATTCATTAAATGCTTGGCATTATTCTTAACGTTAATTGCTTATCCCCATCCCCACGCTATCTATATTTATCTTAATTTCATGGAGACAATGCGACCAGCTAACAAAACGATAATACTTCGTTCTATTAATATACAAAAAAAACTTAACAAAATTGACTTTGATTTGTTCTTGCGTTTGTTTGGACATCGAAACGATATGAAATTGTTAACGCTGCGGCCGCACCAACTCAGCTGTTTCAACTGAATCGATTGGCATTTTGCTTTAACGATTAAATAATTATTATTTAATTAATCCAATTTTATTTTATTTTACTTCATTTTACTATGCTTTATTTTATTTTATTTTATTTTATTTTATTTTATTTTATTTTATTTTATTTTATTTTATTTTATTTTATTTTATTTTATTTTAGTAATATAAAATTTTGAAAATTTTGTTATGAAATATTTGGAATACTAGAAATCCACTGTCCGTTACTCAACTCCAAGATTTTATTTTCCTTTTTTGATTCTATTTTATACGTTTTAACTGCGAAACGCACTTCTGGCATTGCAGTTTAAAATTCTGCGAGCGTCAAGTGGTTTTTCAATTTCGTTTGCGAAAAAAAAATTAACAAAGGTATAAATTAACATTGCTTTATATGAGTGTGTGCCAGCATGTATAGGTGTAGTTGCAGTAGTCAGCTGTATTCTACACAAGCTCTGCCACCTCTACCGGCACTTTCCATCAACATTAGAACAACAGGAAGCAGCGTGTAGCAGCTCAATTACGCGTTGCAACTAACTTCGCTGACGCCTAAGTCGCCTTGAGTCTAAATTTGTACATATGCATATACATACATATATGGTAAATCATTTGTTAGTGCAGTAGTACTTATGCTAGCTACCGGTTTGTTCCAGCTTTCGGGCGAGCGGGGGCACATGCACACAAACACTTATATATGCAATCGCATTCAAAGACATTTCGACAAACGTCTCTCACGCGCAGAGAGAGAGAGAGCTCACTTTACTGCCTTGCTTCCTTCCTGTTTTTGGACGACGATTTGCTTGGATGGCTAACGGCTGTCACACGTTCATACATTAACGACCTGCAGCTGTAGCTGTTGCTTGTGTTCATTCGCCACGCCTAAATTTATGCAATGCATCTCACTTGAATGGCAATTGCAATGGAAATTTGCATTATGCGACGAAGCGCAAACAGGAAGCGCCTTAGCAGCAGGTATGAGCATGCGAGTGTCGTAAATGCCAAGCACGAGAGCAAGTTTTATGACACATGTACCTATGTACGTGTATGCATATATGCCAACGCACATGGCCAACACACATCTAAACAGCTTAAGGTACATTATTGCACATTAACGTATAGTTTTATATCTGAATTAAGGTGACTGTTATTTTTCACCTTTTTTTTAATTTGAGGTGGTATGAACATTATTTTTTACAGCAATCAATTTGATTGTGAAAGTTTTGTGGTAATATTACAAAAAATATTTGTTTATTGTGCAACAGTGCGTATACGTAACATTTTTATAAAATTCTACCAAAAATTAATTTTTATTATAATATTTTTAAAATGTATGCGGAAAATCATAGAAATAATTAATTATTAATTGTGTTTCGTGCCCTATATGTCAAATTACATTTATATAATTAAATTTTAAGCCCAAACAGTGGACAAAATTTTCTATGAAAAGCATGAAACCCCAAAAAGTTTAAAATTTTTAAAATTCTTAACTTTAATAGTGACATTAAAATGTGCTCGGAGTTTAAAAAATATACTTGTCTATAGATATCACGTTATATTTAAAGGTTGTCTTTAGCTTATTGAATACAGTCTTGTATAAAATAAATCCAGTGGATGGTTCGTGTGCTAAAAGATATTTAAAATAATCTTGATATACTTTTTTTAGCATCGTTTGATCAGTAGTGCTTTCTGACGCTAGCGAATTACAGGAAATCAATTTTTTTTCGACAATATTAAGATAAAAAATTGAAGATTAAATTTTTGCTTAATAAGTCGCCACACAACTGACGGCCGCACCAGCTGAGTGGTCAGCATTGAGTATTGCCATTCTGAAGGAATCGTTCGATCAACATCAAAAATTAAAAAAAAAAAGGAAAATAATTTTTCTAATTGCCCTCGCCCCTCGGCAGGGAATGTCCACAAATAACATCTGCTCATAATAAATACATAGACCGTTCGGCCCTAGATTTGTCAGAAAAAAACCTGTATTCGTCGGTTCGAAAACATTTTTGTCGTATTTCAGAGTAATTTTAATATTGTTGCTGAAAAAAAATAGTTTAAGAGTTTAGGAAATTTGTTTTTGTTTTAATTTTTTTAACAAGTTAAACAACCTTAATAATAACCCGCACCCTAATGCGTATATGTAACTGCGAGTGTATTCTAAGCTGGTTACATATTG